TTTTATCCTGCTTTATTTTTCTTCTTAGCGCTTGACTACTCCATATTTATTTATCTTATGCCTTTCTCCCTTCGCTAAGCTCCTTGAGCAGGGGCTTTGTCCATTTTGTTCACTGCTCTGTTCTGCAGGGCCCAGAACAGTGCTTAGTACAAAGGAGGCCCTCCATAAATGTTTGCTGAATGTTCTAGAAGTGAATGAATTCAAACACCTGACCATGGGCAGAATGGCGAAGCGGTTAGGAGCAGAGGCTCAGGGCTGGACAGCCTTGGTTTGCGGCTGGTGGTACCTCCTGGGCAAGTCGCTCTACCTCTTTGTGCCTGATTTTCTCCCTTGTAAGGTGGAGATGGTAATGGGACGCATCTCCTGTTGTTTTTGTGTGGATTAAGTGAATTATTACAAATGAAGCATTCAAGATAGAGCCCAGCTCATCGTTATTTACTGTAATAGCAACACATGTCCCTATGACTGTCACTATTACTACCCTCCCCTTCTGTTTGAATCTGCGGCTAGAATTAAAAAAAAAAATGAAGCTCAGATAATGCGGAAATCATCTTTTAAAGAACCTTAACATTCTTCTCCCTTTACGACTTCGATGCAGGTTCTCCACATATGATTCTACCTGCCAGATTGCGCAAGAGATTGCCGAGAAAATCCAACAGCAAAATCAGTATGAAAGAAATGGTGAAAATACAATCAGGGTAAGACCAGGAGGAAATTAGTCCTTGGAATGATTTCTTTGAGCTTGGAGGTCTGAAAACCCTCCTGCTGAGGCTCCGTGTGTGTGTGTGTGTGTGTGTGTGTGTGTGTATGTGTATGTGTGTAATGACCTCCAAACTTACACGTGTAGAATTGACATTACAACCAATTAGTTAATCATTATAACTGAGACTAAATGAAGCATGGCACCTGTTTAATTCTCCTACTTCACCTTAAAAGTTTCTAACAATTTCATAATCTAGTTCAAACCCCAGACAGTAAATCTCCCAGGCTTTGCAGGACAAGAGGTGACGTCTTCACCTCTTGGAGGATCTATTCTTGCCAAAAGGATAATAGCCTTTTTTACATTTTACATGCAAAAACGTAAATAGCTTACAGGCTGTACAAAAACAGTGGCAGGATTTGACTAGGAAATATATTTTTTAGACGCTCATGAGTTCATGCTAGCACCTTCAAGTCTAACACCATGAGTTTCTAACCTTCTCCATTCTAAATTCGTATTTTTCTTTTCCAGCAGTCAGAACTTTGGTTTCCAAAAACAATGATATCTTTTTGCCCACTTCGTGTATTTTATAGTTTACAGAAAACAGTTTCAGAATTCCTACACAGGTACCACCACAAACACTAAGTTTGAATTTGTCTTTTTTTTTTTTCAACTTTTTAAAACTAATATCCCACTAATAATACCGAGGTTATTCTGTTCTAAAGTAATTAGGATGGATTCTTTTTTTCTGTGTTTTATGCTATCCTTTGCATCTGTTTATATTCATTTTTTTTGTACTTAACTCTTTAATCCCCATCACTTATTTCCCCTATCCCCCCACCCACCTGCCCTGTGATAACCACCAGTTTGTTCTCTATAGTTGAATCTGTTTGTTGATCCATCTCTCTTTTTTGTTTTCCCTTTGTTCCTTTGTTTTTTTCCTCAGATTCCACCTATGAGTGAAATCATATGGTATTTGTCTTTCTCTGACTTATCTCAGTTAGCATTATACTCTCTAGCTCCATCCATGTCGCAAATGGCAAGATTTCGCTCTTTTTTGATGGCTGAGTAATATTCCATTGTATCTATATACCACATCTTTATCCATTTATCTATCAGTGGACACTTGGGCTGCCTCCATAGCTTGGCTGTTGTAAATAATGCTGCTATAAACATCAGGATGCGTGTACCCCTTTGAATTCATGTTTTTGTATTCTTTGGTAGGATGGCTGTTTGGATTGTTTCTACTATTTTGCTGTTATGAAAAATGCGGCAATAAATACCTTTATGCTTTTTCCCTCCTTATATTTGTGGAGGTGTCTTATAAGGGTGAATTCTCAGAACCAGTAGGGTGATTACTGGATCATTGGGCAGTTTTATTTTTAACTTTTTGAGGGCCCTCCATACTGTTGTCCACAGTGATCGCACCAGTTTGCATTCCCACCAGTGGTGCACGAAGGTTCCTTTTTCTCCACATCCTCACCAACACTTGTTGTTTCTTGTATTGTTGATTTTAACCATGCTGACATGTGTGAGGTGATATCTTGTAGTTTTGATTTGCATTTCCCTGATGATGAGTCATGTTGAGCATCTTTTTTTTTTTTTTTAAAGATTTTATTTATTTATTCGAGTGAGAGAGAATGAGAGATAGCGCGAGAGGGAAGAGGGTCAGAGGGAGAAGCAGACTCCCTGCTGAGCAGGGAGCCCGACGTGGGACTCAATCCCAGGAGTCCAGGATCATGACCTGAGCCGAAGGCAGTTGCTTAACCAACTGAGCCACCCAGGCGCCCATGTTGAGCATCTTTTCATGTGTCTGTTGGCCATCTGTATGTCTTCTTTGGAGAAATGTCTGTTCATGTCTTCTGTCCATTTTTAATTGGATTATTTGTTTTGGGGGTGTTGAATTGTATCAGTTCTTTATATATTTTGGATACTAACCCTTTATCAGATATGTCCTTTGCAAATATCTTCTCCCATTCAGTAGATTGCCTCTTTGTTTTGTTGATTGTTTCCTTTGCTGTTCGAAGCTTTTTGTTTTGATGTGGTCCCAATAGTATATTTTTGCTTTTATTTGCCTTGCCTTAGGAGACATATCTAGAAAAACGTTGCGGGGCATCCGGGTGGCTCCGTTGTTAAACGTCTGCCTTCGGCTCAGGTCATGATCTCGGGGTCCTGGGATCGAGCTCTGCATCGGGCTCCCTGCTCAGCGGGAAGCCTGCTTCTCCCTCTCCCTCTGCTGCTTCCCATGCTTGTGTTCCCTCTCTGACAATTAAATAAATAAATCTTTAAAAAAAACAAAAAAGAAAAACATTGCTACGGCCAGTTTTTACTGCCTGTGCTCTCTTCCAGGATTTTTATGGTTCAGGCCTCATATTTAAGTCTTTAATCCACTTGAGTTTATTTTTGTGTGTGATGTAAGAGAGTGGTCCAGTTTCCCCCTGCATGTTGCTGTCCAACACCATTCCATACCTTTCCCAACACCATTTGTTGAAGAGACTGTTCTTTCCCATTGGATATTCTTTCCTGCTTTGTCAGAGATTAATTGACCATATAATTGCGGGTTTATTATATTAATTTTTAATACTTCTTATATGTAACCATTTTCATTAATTTTGGTTTATTCTTCCTGTGTTAACTTTTTGCAGAAATAAGCATCTGTGTATATGTGTATGTGTTCTCATTTCTCTTCCTTTTACACAAACAATACTCTTTTGTATCTTGCTCTTTTTATTTAATACTACATTGTAGTGATCCCTCCATATTAATTCACTGAGATCTTTGCTGTTCTTCTTTAGGGCTACATAATACTCTATTGCACAGATGTGTCATGTCCGTTTAACCTGTCTATAAAGATAGGTGTTTGGATTGTTTCTACTATTTTGCTGTTGTGAAAAATGCTGCAATAAATACCTTTATGCTTTTTCCCTCCTTATATTTGTGGAGGTGTCTTTTTTTTTTTTTTTT